TTGTTTTTAGATTTTGAGGCGCCTTTATACTGAATTCGAGTCAACGCCATTTTTATTGAATGTGCCGGATTCGAAGAACGGCATTGTCGTGTGCGAATTAATCCCTTAACTTGTGCGCTCGAGTTAATTCGAGCGCGCTAAACAGGCCAAACTGTGCACACGCGAGATAATTCGAGCGGCGTTGTATTTTACGCTACTATAGTTTTTCACCCTCGAATATAATCGAGAATTTTATTTTTTTGCCAAGACATGTTCTAGTGCTTTTTTTACATAAGAAAAATTGATTTTTTTTGGCCGGTTTTTTTTTTAATCTGTGCGTTATGGGGTTGATACAGGAGGTTATCAGAGTTGAGATACGAATTTGGATTTGGCGCGAAACTCTCCCGGGCTTCTTGATGAACTTCCCTAGCTTGTAGGCTAAATGCGGAATATCTTCTCTGTGCGATATTTTTCTACGTTTCCTCCGTCATATCTGGGCTTCTATTTTGTTTTTAGATTTTGAGGCGCCTTTATATTGAATTCTAGTCGACGCCATTTTTATTGAATGTGCCGGATTCGGAGAACGGCACTCTCGTGTGCAAATTAATACAGGAGGTTATCAGAGTTGAGATACGAATTTGGATTTGGCGCGAAGCTCTCCCGGGCTTCTTGATGAACTTCCCTAACTTGTAGGCCAAATACGGAATATCTTCTCTGTGTTCGGTTACGGATTTCCTCAGGAGGAAACGTGACTCTTCTCTGGTAACACGAGGGACTGTAATCGGGTTCACTTCGTTTCTGATGTTCTTTGGCGTTTCCTCTGTGATTTCTGAATTTCTGTTCTTTTTGTGGATCTCGCGGCCCCTTTATGTTTAATTCTTGTCGACGCCATTTTTATTGCGTTTGCCAGATTCGGGGAATCTGTAAAAGGGAATGCCGCCGCGAATTAATATCGAAGATTATCAGAGTTAACGCTCAGACTGCCCTAACCTATAAACCGAGTATCCCGACCAATGGGATAAAATCCTCCCTGCATAACTAACGCTAGGGATTTCTTCGGAAGGAAACGTGACTCTCTTTCCCGGTAAAACGAGGTACTGCAACCGATTTCGCCTCGTTTCCCCTGTCACCGTGCGTTTTCTCCGCGATTCCTGATTTCTCTTCTTCTTTCACCCCCGAGTCGTCTTCCTGCTGGATTCTTATCGGTGCCACCTTCAATGCGTATTCCGGATTCAACGAATCCGTGAAAGGGAACTCCACCGGCGTGCCGCGAATTAATACATGGAATCTCCTAATCTATAAGCCGAGTGTCCCGATCGCAATCTCGGGTAAAATCTGATTTCTCAATTACGCGGAGCACTTTGTTTACGAACGCCGGATCCGATCTTCGGCGAGATCGCAGATAGGATCGGTTTAGTGGGCACGCATTACTAAACACTTTAGCCTAACCTCTTACTACGGCATTATCGTCTATAAAAGCGAGATCTCGGGGACGCGCGGGTTATCGACAATCCGGTTATCGACGCCTTCGACGACTCTCCGTAAACACGGATCGCCTCGGAAGTGTCCATAACCGGGTCTATTGGCTATCCATATGTCGCCGATCATCGGGACGTTCACCTCGGGGACGGAGCGCGCGAGGCGACTCGCGCCACCGGCGGTCCGACCCCGAATGCGCCCGAATGCTCGCGCCGCTTATCGAAGACGCCCGATCGACCCGCATGGGCATTCGGGTCGGATTTTCGAGAAAGTCCGGCGCGCGTCGGGGATTTCGCGAGTCGCGCGATCGACGTGACTCAGCGCGCAACACCGCCGCGCATTGTCTGCGGCATGCGCGTCGCGTCTGCGTCTGCTCGCACGCGGGTTAGGCTGAGCCGGGGTCACCGACCGGAAGGTTAGGTCGCTCGAACTGGAACTCGCGTATGCGCGCGCGGGCGTGGCGCCATCTCGCTACCACCGTTCGGCCGCCGCGAATTAACTTTCGACGCTGACGCCTCGAGGCCCACGCTAATTAACGATCGCGACTCGAACGCATGACGTTATTTTACAGGCCGCGGGCGCTTCGCTAAACAAACCGACGCCCAGTGCAATCGAGGGACGGCGGAGCTCGTAAATCCACTGCATTTCAAGTGCAATTAAGGCCCTTATTCCTGCCCCGGACCGCTAAACGCGTCCGTACCGGATTTAATACGCCGCGTTCCCTGCCGTTTGCCGGATACAAATGTTTGTTTGATTATATCGTTGATTGTACCCATGCTCGCGGTATGGTAATGATCCCGCGAATTTAACATCGCGGGGTCGTTAGGTAAATATTAACTCTCCCGCCATGGGCGGTTTTTAGGTTAGGTTGCTCTGGCGTTTTTGTGGGTGGACTTTGAAGGAACGTCGCAAGTGCACGGAAAAAAATGACATTTGCATTTTTTGCAAAGGATAGCATTGCTGATTAAGTTTTGCTGCTGGAATGATCCTACCGACAATAAAAATGTTTGCAATTATTTCAAATCAAATCAAATGAGTGAAATACAATTTGTTGTTGCTGGAAAAGAATACTGTAACTATGAATAGAATTTGTGTTGCCCTAGTGAAGTGATTGTTTTCTTGTTGTCGATATAACAAACATGTTTCTGGACTAAAAAGTTGCTGGCCCATTTTCAAGTCGTCACGTTTGTTACGGCAAGTAAATTTCTTGTTATGACTATGCATTTTTTTCTGCGTGCCGAACAATGAAAGTTTGTATCAATGGTAACCACGAAAAGCAAATGTGTTCTCCAAACTTTCTTATTTAGAAACCAGGTTGCCGGCATCACTTTTGGAAATCTTCGGTTTGTGAAAAGGGTTGCCTGGTGGTGACAGAATAATCAGAATTACATGATAAGTTTTTGTACAGAATTCTGGACGAAATTGATGTCTTTTTAGGTTTTATTTTTAGGGAAGTTTTAATGCAGTGAAACAAAAACAAAAAATTTCCATTTGCTTCGAAAATTCAGTGCGACGTAGAGTGACATGCTGAAATTAACGAAATAAGTAGAACGTGATTTCGGCGTCACATTTGGACTTATCGATTTGTACAGTTTCGATAATCCCTGGATTATGTTGGTACGTGGTGGGAAAGTGTTTGGGAACCAAGTTCGTTCCCGATTTCGTTATCGGTCGTTAACAGGTAACTTAAGCCTAAGAACTTGTATCGGCGTTGGGGAATTCGAAACAAGCGGCGACTCCAAAGCACTTGTATTTCAAGTAATACTCACGATAAGAATCGCATTCTCCAGCCGTCGGCGGTGTATCTTGTTAAGGAATTCCATTGGCACGAATTGACCTAGTTTTAATGACAATGAGCGTGGGCGTTAATTATTACGCCGAAGATCGATATACCTCCGCTACGGCTGTTGCGGAATCGGCACGTAACACTTAACTGCCGATATTGTTCTAACGGACTAATAGCGTCATTATCGGCTTTCTGTTGAATAATTCACTTACGGAATCAAATTTACTATACTAAGGGAAAAACATACGTTCCATACGAAATTAATTGCGGCACTCTAAACATCTCTTTTTAACTAATTTTTGTTTGACTCCAGCAAAATTGATTTTGTAAGAAATATCAGTACTTCAAGTGTTGGCAAGTTAAAGTCAAGTGGACTGCGAAAAAATGTCACATATATAATTTATTGTGAATGTTAAACATATTTATGGAAGATGTATCATTATTTTGCAATTCGATCCTTTCCTTCAAGATCGTAGAACTCCTTTCTCTATGGACTGCAATTTTTTGTCGCATTAATTGTAATTGTCATTTTCTAAAAATGATATTATTCTAAAGCGTCCAAGTGGTGTCGGAAATTTAAAATTACTCTGGTGTACTCAAATTCTATGTCCAGCTTGATTGATTTTGGCTACGGGAAATCAGCTGTCTCCATTAAAATCCACTTATCAAACTCTGCATAGCGTCCACATACAGTGGGGGCGGAAGCAGAAATTGGACTAATTTAATGTATACTTTCAGAAGATAAATTCTGTTCAAGTCTATCTTTCAAGGAATTAACTCTCGCCAATCCGTTTTATCAGGCCATTCTGAAAATTCTATTGTTTTCTGGCAATCCATTTGACGCTGTTAAAAACTGCGAAAAAACGACAAAATTTTTGGAATAGCCCAACAGATCGACTCAAGAATCGATTTTTCTTTTTAACACATTCGCGACCGGCAAATTTTTTCCGTTTCAAATACTGAGTACCGGCGAAAATAATGAAATTCTGAAACTGGTTGCCGCAAACTTGTATCGTGTATGTTTATTGACGTGATTCACGTCAGCGGCAATCAGGAATAGAATTTAAAATGACATGAATTCACGTCAGCGGCAACCAGGAATAGAACTTGAAAAGACGTGAATTCACGTCGGCGGTCGCGAATATGTTAAGAACATGTAGCCTTCAAAACTTGCACTGGGAAGCCCTGATTAACCCTTGCCGTGTTTTGACAAGTGTAACTCGTGATAGAAATTTTGGGCCAGACATGAATATCACGAGTCAGATTCGTGATCACAATTTCGGATGAAAGAAATTTTCTCATTCTGCGAGCATCTTTCTTTACCATTTCGGTTTGTTTTCCAAAAATCTCAAAGGATCACTTTAATTCCTCCGATGAACGTCGTGCCATACAAGTTAGGTCCGAATTTTGCCGATCTAATTTGTACGGCGAGGGGTTAAACCTCGGGTTAAATGACGTTTCCAGGGCGTGCGTTATGCGCCCGTTAACTCGGGGTACCCTAGAAAGGGCGCTTTTGGTACCGGTAACACGGGAGCATAGGTGCACCACTCTGGCACAAAGAACAACCACCGGGAGTGGGATCATAAAACGAGCGTTTTCCGTGTCGGTTACCCCACTCTGGGCTGAAAACTGGTACAGGCATCGCCCCTCCTGAACTTGGTCTTCATGTATAATACATGGCCCTCTTCGGTATCCCTTATATCTTGGTCATTGTATTTTGAAGCAATTTAATGGGCGTCTTTTTGTTCGCTTTCAGATCCAGGGGACATTCGAGAATTGGGACGCCGGGACCTTTAAGCCGAGTAAGTCCTAAGAGTCCGCGGTCGGGCGGACTCCAATCTAATCTGCCTTATCCAGAGCGGTTAGGGCCACTCTCTCGCATTTATTAAATCGTAACAGACATTCGGGACACGCCCTAAGGACCGGGACACGACTTGCCAGATCGAATCGCCCTCGCGGCTTACTTCTCCGTATTTCACTCGACTTTGATATTTTATTTAACCACCTCTCCTTGGGCCGTAATGTAACTGGGATCCGAACATCTCTAATCGACCCAATCTATCCCAGTCGAAAGTTTAGTTCTTTAAATCTGCGTATTCTAACCCCTCTTTCGATCCTACTTCACTCTTTAAGTTCGTTTTCCTTGTACGACCTATTTAATTCGAAATAAATTCTGGCTTGAGCCTACAAGGAGAAAAAATTCGAAATATCTTCCTACAAGATCTAATTAGAGATTCTGAGCGGAATCCACATTTCGACTCGGATATGTCGTATGTCGGGTATGTTTTACAAAACCTGCTTCAACCGTGATCGCGTTTACACTTTTATCAAAAAACCAAAGACTAATCGTCCATGATTTAGGGAAGTATAATATATGGATCAACCACTTGGTATCAAGGGATCTTTTATGAATATTAATCTTAATTATCGAATTTTAATGTTCGTGTCGCATTATTGTATTACAATTTAGTGAAATGAGGAAATGACTTGTCAGAAACGAGGAGGTTAATTTTCAGCTGTAATTTCTTAACGAGACGGTCGCTCGTCGATCACGCGAAGACACTCTTTGTCAGTGCATAATATTTTAGCTCATGATAACTTTCCTGAATGCGCATGTATGCATAAATTTCTTGGCGTAAATTCTTCGTTTCTTCCTCGTTGTGCGAACGTTTCGCCCGCCTCGGGTTGCATAGACTCGGATCGCGTAAAAATATGAGGCGTACAGCCACCCAGTATAAAGCCGAGCGTTTTCCAATAAGTAAAGTTAGGGTGCATGCACGTACACGCGCGTATCGTGAAATGGCTCGGGATGACATTAATGTGTTTTGCAATCGCAGGTGAATTATTTCCACCCTCCTTCTGGGAGTCTTATTGGGAGTACTTGGAGAAGTATGCAGAAGCCAGGAGGACTCTGGACCAGCTCAGGGCATCCGAGGATCCTCTTCTGCACTTCCTGAGGCTGAGGCAAGCTGCTGCGAGGCATTCGCCGTCGTCCTTACTCCTTCTGCCGGTAAGTCCCTTCGTTATACGCCTCTAAGACCGGTGCGTCGGTACCTACCTTATCGGCCGATGACTGTAATTGAACTCGCGATGCTCGAGCGAACGTTAATGCATCCACTCGTCATTCTCGAGCTCGTACGAACTCCGACGGCGAGAGATCTTGCGTCTCGATACCGAGCTCATCCTCATCCTGGTTCTGGTCGTCATACCTATGCACGAACGCAGGATCAAAGTCCATCGGTCTCTCAAAGGCTTTCAGGTAGGTAACGATAATAACGGAGCGATGCATCATGCGGAACGTACAGGTGTAACCAGCAAATCCGAGGGTCGCGAAACCGAATTTCATCCGAATTGGGGAAACTGCTCGAGTCGACATTTTTATCTTACTTAGGACCTTCAATTGTAGCTCTTACAATAAATGGTTTTGACACGATGTACTTGGATATGTTTGTGGTCCTACTTTAGACTTTAAAAGTGGCAGACAATTCCGTTTCTTCACCTGGTAGACCTAAAGTAGGACCTCATTCGAATAAAGTAGGACGTAAAAGGTCGAAAGGAGGACTTATAAAAATGAAACGGAACCAACAAAATCGAGGGTAACGAAGCTGAATATTATGCGAAGTATTTAAATTGAATTTAACTCTTTAGATATATGAAACTCGGAAGTCAAATCAATAAAATCACCGTTGCGATAATAGCTGACTCGATGGAATTAAATTCGAACATTTAGAAATACAGATTTTCGAAGTGGAGTCGACAGAGTCAGGAATTGTGAAGTCAAGTACTATCTGAAGAGGTAAACTTGAACTTGACTTTTTAGAATTGCAGAATCCGGAAGTACACCTGAGATAATTACGTGTCTCAAAACCGAGGGTTATCGCAATCAGTTAAGTTGCACTTGACCTTGTTGGAGGACAGAATATCGAAAAGGAAATTCAACTTGACCTTCCGGAAATACAGAACCTCGAGGCGACACAAATAAAATAAAGTGTTGCGAAACCGAGCACTACCTGAAGAGTTAAAGTTGAACTTGACCGTTTAGCAACGCCTTTTCTGAACCCATTTAATGGTTCAGCTCTCGTGTGAAATTTCTTTCAGTTTGCATAAGTAGTTGGCATTCGGACGAGAGAAAAGAGATCCAAAGACGTAGCCGATCAGCAGTTTTACGACCAGCGTTGAGAAACGACTCTTCCAAGGAAATCTTTCTCTTAATTAAGTAGTCAAACTCCGGAAGACTGACGACACTCTTTCTTTCGCCTTTCTACACCTCCGAGATACACTTTTACCTACAGGTAAAAGCGACTTACAGGCGCTGAGTGAAAAGAGAATACTAGCATTTTTAACGAGTCACTATTAACTATTGTTCACAATTCCTATATTTCACCGAGAACTTAAAAATTGAAGGAAATTCGCCAGACTTTTATTCTATAACTAAATCTAGATTTTCACATCTCGCAGCGACCTTTTCAATTAAACATTCCGAAAGACGTGCATAAACCCCAAGTCTATCTTGCAAAATATTAATTTGTTGTATCATTGATCGGAAAGAGACACCTTTTCACTTATCGTTTCAGTGAAAAGATAAAATTCGAGCAAATTCAACACATTTTTTTATTCCAAACAAGTAAGTTTAAATTTACAAATGCTATGGCGGCCTTTTCTCCGATAAGTTCTGATAAGACGTGCATAAACACCTGGTCTATCGCATAAAATGGTGCATAAAAAATGACGTGCATAAACCTCAAGTTTATCTTACAAAATATTCATTTGTTGTATCATTGATCAGAAAAAGATACCATTTCACTTAACGTTTCATTGAAAAGATAAAACTCGAGCAAATTGGACACATTTTTTTATTCCAAACGAGTAAATTTAAATTTACAAATACTATGGCGGCCTTTTCTCCGATAAGTTCTGATAAGATGTGCATAAACACCTGGTCTATCGCATAAAATGGTCATTTGTTGTATCGTTGATCAGGATACCTTCTAGATAGGATGTGTGGCATACATTGGCTCGGTGCAACACGACGTGCCGTTATGAGCCGACCGGTGCATGCCGAAGCGACGTAACAAGTCGAATCGTTTAATTAGTCACCTCCTTAAGATGCAAAGCTATGAGAGACATCTCTCCTTCGTCGCATTACGAGTCCACGAGAGCTCAGTGAAAGTCTTATCTCGAGTGATGCAACGAGGAGGAACGTCTTCGTTTAACCTTTTACGAGTGCCATACGTGCGCGAGCACGCGGCAATACAACAAAAGCGCCTTCCGAGGATCGATATATACTCCTTTACGTAACGCCCTTGCGAAAAATGAATGCCTTCCTACTCGACACTCTCGGTGAATCCTAGACTCCCATTATGAACGAAAGTATTTCGTCAGCGAGACAATAGACGCGCCCATATAGACGTGGATGTGTCACTTACGTAAAAGGAAAAAACGAATCACATGGTTGGTCAACCATAATGGACGTCAAGCATCGAGGCAATTATCGCCACGTACCAACAGTACGTTCCTGACGTCTCACATCCTTGACTTTTAACATTAAGCATCATGACATGTGGCACAAGGTGGCGATTTAAAGCCGTCGATCGTCGATCGTCTTTCCCACGGCATCGATCGATCTTAAAAATAAGGTTTTTCATTCTCACGAATGCATTTTAAAATTCGACAATCTGAAAAATTGGGGGAATCTAGTTCATAACGTAGGTGCTCGCTAAAAAGGGATTTTCCAACATTTAATCCCAAGGAGGGTGAAAAGGGGTAAACGTGTTTTCAACAAATTTCTTAATATCCCTAATGTCCGAAGGGATATCGATTTGGTTTATACTTAAAAAAAAGAGTACATCCAAATGCCGAAAAACCAATTTCAGGATTTCGCCTTAACTAACCCTTCGGAGAGGGAAAAGGAGTAAAAAGAAAGGTTATACATTTCGAATTCCACTTGCTTCTGCACATTGCCAGCGAAGTCGCTATGGGGGATGCTAGTACTACACACGGGATGTTAAAAATGAGCAAGTTCATATTTTAATAACCCTCGGTGGAATTTTTTAATCGTGGGATCTTCCTCCAGGGCACAAAGGTTGTACAAGGTACCTTCGGCTCCAAAAGCGTAGCTTTATCTCGTGCGTTTACGATTTTCCGTTCCAAAGCGAGCGCATTAAATCGCAATTGCGAATCATAATGGCTAATCATGCTACCTCGCCAGGCGTGACCGCGACTCTTTATGTTTTTCTTGGTTGATGGTAAAAAAAATGGCTTCGAGAGCGGACCCGAAAAGAAAGGGAGCACTTCCCGCGGTGGAATTTTTTAATCGTGAGACTCGTTGCGCGGTGCACGCAAAGTGCATCGGCTGGCCCGAGACCTTCCGCGCGCGTTTACTATGCAACGAACGAGGCGAAAGAAGCTCGCATTCCTGGCGATCGTTCGGGGGATTCTAGCAACGATACTTTACCCGTACCCTCCTCTTCGCCCCCCAGCGGAGGGACCGTGTACCGCGAGGTTTTTCGAGTACGCGCGAGTACGCGTCCAACACGAGCGAGGGCGAAGGTGCACCTCCCGTAACTCGCGGGCGAAACGTGCCGACGTTAACGCCCGTTGAAATACGGACTTATCTCCGTTAACCCTGCCTGCACCCTGCAAAGGTGGAGGGGCACTCACCACTTAGCGTCCGCAATAATTTACAAGATTCCATAACGCGGTCGGGTTGCGTACTCGCGGCTTACACCTGTACGCTTACCTACCTACGCTTAATGTCCGGCAGATCCGCGTCACCCGTGGGTGTTCCGCGTGTATCTCCGCAAGGTGTGCGTCAGCCGACACGCGGAATATGACAAGACGTGGAAATGGTCGTTCATTCCACTTTTCCGTGGAACGAGCGAGGGGAGTTTGTCGAAGACGCGTGGAGTCTGGTCGGAGCATGGGTGCATTCATCGATGCATGCACAGGTGGAGAAGTATTGAGAAGCGATGCAATTTTGGGTAATTTAGGACGACTAAGTGTTTGGGTGACGCGAATAAATGATTAAACTGGTAAGTTTTGGCCGATTCCATCAAATGTTGAATTAAGGTAATTTGGCGCGTTTAACCAAAATATTTAGATTATTGATTGAAATGTTGGAAGAAATAAGTCAAATAATTTAAGGTAAAACATTTTAGTCGATTGACGCTAACGAGGTTGGTCACTCGCGTGAAATGTTATCCGAGATGGGTCAAATGGAGTCAGTCAAATTTGTTCATCGAAGGAAATTTTCTTTTTGTGTGCATCAGATGCACCGTCGCGAATATTCAGAGCAACTCGATTTTCTTGGGTGATCGTTGCCACAGGTATCACTTGGTTTCACAACGTGTAGAAGTGTTTCGATGACTCCTAGGAAGTTCCAACTCGAATGGTTTCTTTCAAGATATCGAGCTCATCTCGTTGCAGCTATCTCGTTAATCGGTGATATCCGGCTGGGAAAAGAGCTTAAGGAACGAGAAGAGTCATCACCTCGTTACGCAAAATCGGAGGCGATGTTTGTCGACTCGCATGAGTGTCCCGATTGCCGGGCGACGTTTGGCCGACGTTCCAACGAGCGGCCCGAACGAATCTCTCGGGACAAAGATGATAATCTTCTCTTTAACTTATCGACTCACCAGCGGGAAGTGCTCCGCCGAGTCGATAACTGTTATTAAAGGAACGTCACGATTCGCGGTGCCGAGGCGGAGGGAGCACGAGCTCTCTCTCTTAGTCCCCTCCGTACGTACTCGCAAGAGCGACGTACACGCGAGTACGTACTTACATAGGAAAATACATATCTTTCGAGGGCGCCCACGACCCTCTCGCAGTTCTTCGTCTTCGTGTCTCAATTCGCCTTAAGGTGTTATGAAAGGGTTATTCTATATATATGTATATCGAAACGTCAAAATATTTTTTAAAATATTTCTCCAAATTGGGTGCACCGAATCATTCGAAACTTCAACACATCATTATAGAGGCCCTAAGGAAAAATGTGAAGCTCATGAAATTTCATTAGAAAAAAAATGTGTCCNTATATAGAATGGCCCTTTCGTAACACCGCAACCGCTCGATGTGGACCAGATGGATTAACTCTGCCGATGGTAAATCGAGCAGCGGGTAATGACCGAGAAGTAACGGGGTCTTAACAAAATGGTCCCCGAAATCGCCTGCAACTTTCTCAAACTTTCTTTCTCTCTCCGTACAGGATATACTGTTAAATGTAACCGCTTGGATTTTTATTTGGCTCACGTTGTACATAAATTTTAAAACTTCGACAAATTTCCGTGATGGGGGGCGATAACGTACCGATGACGGTTTTAGTTCCTAAAACTGCAAGTGATACGTGCTGTGATAGGGAAGATAACGTTGGACATAACCTTGAAAGAGGTAAAATAAAAAATTGACATTATTTACGGGGGCGTTGGGTTGCAAAATTCGTTTTAATGAAAAATTATTTCGCGAATGGGTTGAGGAATATACGTTAAGTAAATTG